TAATAATAATGTGTTAGTTTTATGTAGCACTTCTAAATGCTCAGACATTTTATTTCACATATTATTCACTCACTTCTCAGTCACACTCAGCGGTGGAAATGTGGCTAACAACCAAAATTAGGTGTCCTATTCTGCATTTTCCCTTTTTTTCTGATCAGGTTGGATGCATGCAGGTTATCCCATCATGGCTCATAAGTCCTCTGCAGCTGGACTGCTTAATGTCAAAAATGCAAGAACTAACGGCATTTGGGGCTCCATCCATGAGCTCGGACACAACCAGCAGAGAGGCTGCTGGGAGTTCCCGTCACACACTACAGAGTGCACATGCAACCTGTGGTCAGTGTACGTGCATGAGGAGGTGCTGGGCCTCAACAGGGCAAAGGTAAACTCACAACCAGAATATATTATCTGTTTTTTTTGGCTCATTTAATGTGATAATTTTTAGCTTTTTGTTGAAATTACAATTTGTCATAATTACACTTTTTCACACTGGTCGATGTAGGCTCATTCAGCTATGAGTGTAGAAAAACGAAGTGCTCGAGCAAAGGACTATGTGAAAGGGGGCAGACAGCTGAGCAGCTGGAGCATGTGGGTGGCTCTGGAGACTTATATGCAAGTAAGAAATTTATACTTTGTAAAGAAACTTTAAATTACAAACAAAACAAAATTTCACAGTAAAAAATGGTTGGTTTGGAAAGGATTTTAATTCTGATTTGCCAAACAGTAGTGGTGCTAAGAAATCAGTGTTTTTTGTTTGTTTGTTTGTTTGTTTGTTTGTTTTCACTTTGTCCTCAAAGCTCCAGGAAAGGTTTGGTTGGGATGCCTTTAAGAAGGTGTTTGCTGCCTACCACAAGATGAGCAACTTTCCCAAAGACAACAAAGGAAAGATGAACCTGTTCACTGAGACCTTCTCTCAGACTGTGGGCATGGATCTGACTGGATTCTTCAAAGCCTGGGGATGGCCCATTGATGCAGCTAGTGAGCAAAAATTATCCAGCCTGCCTCCCTGGTCTGATCATCCCATGGTTCAGTATGACTGAGCATCAATCAGCTGTGGATTAAGGAGCACCTGTAGTTACTTCATCAGATGGGCTATTGATAGAGTTTTATTGGATTTATTAAACTTCTTAAGGTGTTTCAAATAAAGTCTTGAGGTACGTGACAAATTTATTA